AATTAGCAATCTCACCATCTCTGTTATGAAACTGACCTAAGAACTTTCTCCATAGCTGTATGTATAACAATCTTTTAACCACAATACTCTCTCTCTTCTCTTTTTAGGTAAATCTTAGTTTAGTTGATAAGAATCGGCTATAAGCATGTATTTGGGTAAGATCGGAAAAACTCATGGATCTGGTGGGTGATGTGTCTGATCTCTTGAGACTGGCAGAACTTTATGTATGGTGAACAAGATTGAAAGTAATTCTCATCATATTTGACTTGGCTATCTGGGAGGAAGCCCAGGAGATCTGTGCTTTAGATTCTTCATAACCAGTAAGGTGTTGTAGAAGCTGTTTTGTTGCTGGCTTGGTGAATCTAATTATTAGAATAAACCACCAGTTTTGGGACTCGTCTACCCCATAATATTCAGTTTGCCCTGATTGAGCATGGCCCCTCCAGGCACCACAGTCACATAGACCAGAAGGGACCATCATGATGATCTAGTCTGACGTCCTGCACATCACAGGCCACAGAACCTCACCCACCCACTCCTGAAATTCACCCTTAATCTCTGGCTGAGTTACTGAAGTCCTCAGATTAAAGACTTCAAGTTACAGAGAATTCACCATTTACACTAGTTTAAACCTGCAAGTGACCCATGCCCCAGGCTGCAAAGGAAGGTGAAAACTCCCCTAGGGTCTCTGCCAATCTGTCCCGGGGAAAAATTCCTTCCCAATGCCAAATATGGCAAATCAGTTAGACCCTGAGCATATGGGTAAGACCCACCAGGCAGATATCTGGGAAAGAATTCTCTGCCGTAACTCAGTGCCCTCCCTATCTAGTGTTCCATTACCGGCCATTGGAGATATTTGCTGCTAGCAGTCACAGATTGGCTATATGCCATTGTAGGCAGTCTCATCATACCATCCCCTCCATAAACTTATCAAGCTCAGTCTTTCAGATATAGTTATGGACACACCCGTTAATAATTACAGCAATTCTAATAATGTGTTGTAGGACAAGTTGTATGTTAAAGGACTGCCAAAGGAAACAGGAAAGGAAACTGGTATTGGAACATGCCACCTTATTCCATCAAGTTTGCTGTAGAATCTTCATGAGCAAATAGGGAGCCAGTCCTGTAAAACAGTGCTCAGATTACTTCAGCGGGGATACTTGCGTAAATAAGAACTATCCGCTGAAGTAAGGTTTTGCTGGATCGGGTCCTAAGTTTAGCAGCAGCAAAATGTGTGCTAGTGAATAGAATAAAATACTTATAACCCATCTGTCTCTGGTATTATGAAACTATCTTTGCTTGAAAAATTCTGACAGCTACTCATCAGCTATTTGTACCTATGAAACACTTAAGTGTTAGTGAAAGCACAATATAAAATCCATAGAAAGAGTGCATCCCTGGACACAAGAGGGCTTGAATCACCAGTGTGTTTCTCCAGTTAATATAAACCAACTGGCATAAAACTACAGTAATACAATGGTGAGTTAGGCCCATTGTCTCTTTGCAGCAGTAGTAACACCTGTGCTCCTACACATAGCGCATCCCTTGCAGGAGCAGCGAAGTGAATAGGACTAGGATTGAATCAGTGTTTTCTCCCCAGTGCTGCTGCTACCAGAGCATTGTGGTCAGCAACAGAGGCACAACACGTACCAGATGGCTGGGAAATGGACACACATGTAGGGAGAACAGCAAGAGTTAAAAATAAGAATGGAGGGAGAAGCAAATTGTTTTAGGGTGAGAGTTTTATCTGAAATTCTTTCATCTACCAACCTAATTAATGATGAGAGTTAACTTAATAGGAGGGCAAAAAGAAGTCAGACATAAAACCTCACTTCTAAAATGCTGGAATCTCTTCCGTTATTTGAAAGAGCAAGGGGTAAGGGAAGGAATAGATTCTCCCAAAGAGATTGAATTAAAGGCCTTTACATATAAATATAAAATACCTTAATTTATAGTCTGTAAATCTGTAGCCACACTTGAAGTCCATAGGGCCTGATTCAGAAAGCATCCTTATGCAGGAAAGGCACTTAAGAATGTACTGAATCATTTCCCTTTAGTCCTGAATTCCCATTCACACATATAGGGCCAAATTTATGCTCACCTGACTCATTCAAATCGTTCTACTGACATTCCAAAGTGTCATAGTCTATATTAGATATTAGTCATAGACAAAGTAGAAAATATCATTTTAATTTGCCCTCTTACTGATACCAAAGATTTAGGTCAGAGTTTAAAGTGTTAAACATTTTGGTATAGCTGCAGGTTTTAATGCAAATTTTCCTACTCAGTTACATTTCAAAATGGTTGTGGCACAGAAAGTTCCTTCTTGGGTATGGCAAGTTGTTTGTGCATACAACAGATTTTATCAAAAGAAGAATTTATCTAATCATATAGCTCCACTACTTAAATAGCTTTTATTTTCTCTTCACAGCACTAGCAGAGCAGCAAAGACAGAATAGCAAAAATCAATAAGAGAAGAAAGAGTAAGCACTGAATGATTTCAGAACACCTTTCCATAACCCCTGACTATACAGGATCACAGAACAACAACTTTGATAACTGTATATATTGAGCAAGCTAAACAACTATGCATATAATCAAGCTGACCGCTGTTACATCACGTATGGATTTTATCAACCAGTTGAAAAAAAAATTATAAACTAACAGCAACCTGATTTACTACCTTTTATTTGTAACATCCGATCTATTTGTTATGGTTCTCTTTACTTTCTACATTCACTTTTCACATAGGAATTCAGTGAGGGAGCAGCATACATCTTGTGCTTTAACAGCACAAAATAATTGATACCAGAGCAAACTTTTCAAAAATACAAATACCGTGTATGAAAACATCTGCCCAGTAACATTCTGAAATGCAATTTTTTTAGAGCAGGTTACAATATTTTTTGGCTAGAGGATGAATCCCTGCAAGTTATGAAAGCAACAGACTGATAAATTTCCATCTGTTCAAATATTCACCACGGCCTGATATACTCTCTGCCCTTAATGTCTGTTACAGAGATGCTCTCCCAAATACATAACTGCAAAAATCAATTCAGTTGGGAAGTACATAAAACGTTTTATGCTACAAATGGGAAAACATTATGAAAAATACTGAACTGCTAAACCCATCATGTGCTTAAAGACACAGACTTATTTTATAACAGATAATTTTATAAAACAGGATATAGGGACTTCTTGGAAGTCAACAGATTTTAACAGCAGCTGGTCAACTAAATAGATACTAGTTTACTACAATTTTCTGAAGAGGATGACTTTTCCTTTCTTTCACCCTTATCCCTATGTAGTACTTTAAAAAGAACTCCTTTGAGAAATGGTATCACCTAACGTTTCCATTTGCCCAGATGTTTTCCTCATTAGCCCGTCAGGAAAGGCAAATACAGGGTAATTCTAATGATAGCAAACACCTCATAAAAAACCCTCTCCAAATTTACTTTTCCACAAAATATAATTTTAAGGCACTTCATGAACCCATGCGGAAAGAAAGCATCATTTACAAAATATTATTACTAGAAATCTTAAAGATATTAAAAAACTGGAATGTCAGTCTAGTGATAAAATTTCAGTGTATAAGACAGAATACAACCATGGACCTTATTCAAGACACTTTGCTCAATTCTGACTCCCACTTAGTTCAACAGGAAATGGTCTGAGTAACAGCCTGATCCTGCAATGTAGAATGCACGGGTGGACTGCTATGTTTGCAGAGACCCACTGAAGCTAGTGATTTCACATTGAGCATTACAGAATAAGGACCCAAGGGGAATAAGGAGTGCTGAATAGGAAGCCCTGTCCTCTATTAACTAGGAAGAAGAAAGAAGTGGTTTTAATATAGTTATACCTAAATTTATTATTATTATATATTTCCTGTCAGTTCTCTGCACAATGTATAAGATATTTCATTTTTTCTATACCTGCATTTAGACACCAATCAGTATAAAAACCCACTTTATTAGAGATTTAAGATGTATTCAATTTGATCTTACATCTTCCACTATTGGTCTCAAGTCATTGTAAATAGCTGGCAACAGTAACACACTGTTAAGAAGAAGAGCCAACAGACTAGGAAAGCACAAGAAACAGTGCTCTAAAATTCACTGAGATCGTTTCCAGGGACATCACTCATTTTGGTCCCAAGTCACTAGTGTTACACACGTATTTTGTCCTTTTATTGTTGAAATGAAAATTATTTCCATCAGCAGCAAAGAATCATGAAGCTTGGGTTAGAGAAAGTGTTATTTACACTGAAGGGTGAAATTTAATTATTTTTGGTGTTTTTCACTGGGGTCTTTCCCACACCTCACATCTCACACGTTTCAGCCTTGGCACATGGAGAGGTCTGCTTTCATCATTTATATGAAAAATGTCATTAATAAGTCAGCAAAAATACAGCAACTCTCTCCAGACGTTTCTGAAATACTTGCAACTTTACCAAATCATATGAGAAATCAAACTGGGAGCTGCTTCTATCGACTTCTCCCCACCCCACTCCCGCCCACATCCCAAGGCAATATACATGCAACCAGCCGTTTAAAAAACTAGGTTGATAAAAGCGTGTCTGGGAACAGCGCTAGACAAGTCGCAAGTCGGGAGAGAATGGCTGTGACAAGCAGGAGGGTGACGGCTGGGAAGGAGGAGGAGAAAAGCTGGGGTGGGGAAGACGGGGGCATGCGGTTGCAGAGATTTCAGCCCAAGTTGGCCCTGGTAGCTGCATGACACCCCTACGTCTCATTTAGTCTGGGGCCGGCCCCCGAGCTTGCCTGAATTCGCACCTTCTCGGCACAAACACCAGGCTCTGGTTGCCACTTCGCCCGAATTCAAACAAGCCGCCTCCGGCTTCAGGAGGGGGTCAGGCCATGGGGCGGCCCACCCACGCCCCGCCCCCGAACGCATCAAGCAGGCTCCCCCTCCACCCCCGGGCCGGGGCTGCCAACGCCGCTGCCTCGCCCGCCCCGCGCAGCTCCCCGGGAGGGACTCACCTGCGGCTGGCCGTGGGTGCTGTTGGCCGGCGGGGGGTCGGGCTTGGCCCGCAGCACGGTGATGTGCAAGGTGAGCAGCAGGAGCCCCAGTAACAGCAGCAGCTCCGCCGCCAGCCGCACCATCCTCTTGAAGCGGGCGGCTTTAGGGCCCCGCAGGAGCGGCGGCAGCAGCCGGGGAGGAGGAGGAGCCGCCGCCGGAGCAGCCCCGGCCCCGGCCCCGGCCCCAGCAGCGGCCCCGCTGTCCGAGGCGCCGCCGGGCCACGGCGGAGCCAGGTCGGGACGGGAGGCGCCGGGGCAGCAGCAGGCGGCGGAGAGGAGCGCGGGGCAGCAGGGCGCGGGGCCCGGGCCTGGTGCAGGAGGCGGCGGCGGCGGCTCGGCGGGCAGCCCCGCGCTCCGGAGTCCGCATGGGCTCGCCAGGGGGTCTCCGGGGCGGGGGGCTGGGGAGCCGGGCGCGCGGGGCAGCCTGCAGCCGGCGGGAGCCCGGGCCGCGCTCCGCATCCAGGGGGAGGCGAACGGGGAGCGGCCGCGGGGCTCCCTCACATGGCTGGGGCCGGCGCCGGGACCCCGCGGGCGAGTGCCGGGGGCTATTGCTGCAGGCTCAGCGGAGGGGGGGCCGCTGGCTTGCGCCTGCTGCGCTGTCCTCCCCACCGCGCTGCGGGGCTTGGTTCTCCCTAGCCCCCCTCACACTGCAGGGACTGGGCGCCCCTAGC